GGGGCTCTCCTCTCGCGGCGGTGGCGCGGGCTCGGCCCCTTCAGCAGTCCGCCGCAGCAACGCAGGGACGCGGCGCTTGGGAGTTTCGCCCTTCCCGCTGCTCCATGGAAGCGCCGAGGCAGCCCCGCTGCTCCGGCGGCTCAGGCCAGCCGCCCCGGCCGGGCGCAGCTCCTGGGGCCGCACTCTGCCATCGCACCCGCCTCCCTGTCCTCGGCCTCACGCCGCAGTCGCTCTTCAAGGTTGCGGAGCGCAGCCTTCAGCCATGCCGGCCCCTCGCCCCAGCCCCCGCCCGGCTCTCGCACAAACACCCAGGCTTTTTCTCGCTCTCTCGCCGCCGCGGCGCAACCTCCTCCCGTCCTTTTCCCTTCTAGGGTTGCACTCTCGGGTTCCCAAGCCCCCAGCCGCTGGGCTATGCAAATCACTTAGGTACATGCAAAACTAACCCTGCTTCCGGAGCGCCATTGGCCCGGGGAGGTCTCGAGCTCATTACTATGCAAACAACGGAGCTGCCATTGGCCAAGAGTAGGACCAGAGGGGTGTGCTTATCAGCCGTGAGTGACAAGGTGGTGGTGCTGGTGGTGCTGGTGGTTCCAGACAGAATCCCTGAGCTGGCCCTGTTTGCGTGGCAGGTTGTGGATTGAAGGTAGAAAGATTCGAAGACTTAAGTCCGGTTTTTCCTTCCCCCACCCGTCTTCTTCCCTCTGCAGAAATTGGATCTCCTAAATTGGATGACCTGAAAAGTAGAACTTGCCTCCAGCCTTTAGTTAAGTTTCAAATGACTCTCCACTGTTCCAAAGGGCGTGAACATTAGGAGCTGTGCTAATGGAAAAAAGATTGTGAAGAAGAGGGGAAACTTTCCCTTCCTGTGACATAAACACAATGTAAATCGTTTTAGCTATACACTATATTAAAACGGTGTCACCCCATAATCCTCCCGCTTCACCTGAGATCTTTATTTCTGCCTCCATAGCCGGGTGGTAGCTAAGTCTCAAATTAACCAGCTACCCTACGGTTTTGGTGACAGCAATTCAGGCTGCTTTTTCACATACGTTGAAAGCCTGAAGCACAGGAATCTTGTAGAAGTAGTGGATGTTTTTGAACACTGGACTTTTTTTCCATACACAAAATATTTATCTTGAGAAATCCACTGCGACCCTAGTGCTAGAGAATAATCTGTAGTCTTTTCTCTTCTGGACATTTGTGACTGAATAGACCCCCACAGAATCATTTTTTGTACCAATTCTGCTCTTTGACCATCTCCTTTCTTGCTTTCTTTTAGACTCTTGCTATGCTTTTGGGTTTGTTTTTTTTTTTATTCTCTGTTAGAGATGTTTTTAACGAATACTTTAAGGCAGGCAAGGTTAAAAATGTCACTCATAAAACTGACTAGTCATATCATGTTAGTAAAATTAAAGAAAATGGGAGCAAGTTGATGCAGTCCTAACAAGTTTAAAATGAAAAATGTCCATCATCTCTGCATTCAGGACTTTATCTTTAAATATAATGCCCAGTTGTATACATGACTAATATACAATAAATTTATCTACACGGTAGAGAGCCAATAAATACAGATGTGCCTTGACTGCAAGTTTTAGAAATAACATATTTCATCTAATTATAGGTCAGAAAGATAAAGATAGGTGGACAAACCACTGGTTTTATAGATAAGAAATCTAAAGTGCTGAGCTACTGTGCCCAGCCAGGATGGTTACAGAGCAGCTCCCGGATTCCTGGCTCCTTATCTGGTGTTCCCAGAGCCTCCCCTCTGAGGCCTCCACTGTGTAAGTCATGTCCATTATTTTCTAGCAATAATTGTAAGCAAGTAAAGAGAAGATGCAAAAATTAGTTCCTCTAATTGAATCCCTTAAGACTTGTCTTTTATAACAACACTGAAAAATGACAGATCAGTTTCTCTTAACCAAGACATCAATTTCTTCTGTTTTTAAATAGTAATTATAGATTATACTGAATGATTTTACTTTGACTTTCTTTTCACTGCCTTTCTCTTAAAGTAGTGGATGTCAAAATTTAGTAAGTATCACCTGCAAAGAAGAAAAATGGAAGGTGATTTAGGAGATCTGGAGACCCCAGAAATCAGCACTTTGATACATGTTTGCAGAGATCATGAGCCACACTTGGAAAATTTTATTACTTGGGCTCAAGATATAAAATCTGAAGACTCTGCTTTTAGACTGATTGCTCTTTCTAGTCTTTCATAGCTTTGGGTGAGTAAATGTGTAGTCTTCCCCGAAGACAGGAGGACGGAGAATGTGGTGGCAGCGACTCTGCATACAGTGCAATGTGCTTTTGGGCAAAAACAAAAAAGAAGGATACCACCTCTGGGTGATGTTCCCTTGGGCTCTTGTGCAAAAGGCACAAGGCATGTTGATTGGTGGACAAATTGGACTTTGGTCCCACTCACCTTCTTGCCCAGACACTCCTATAAATATAGACCCTGAACATGTGTGTGCACCTGCCAGGTGAATGTGCCAAAGTGCTCCAGGAAGGAAACAAAAACCACAGATACTAGCAGCTCCTGAAGTGTGATAAGGTTGAACTGCATTGAAAGTCCTCAAAAAGAATTTTATGAAGTACTTCCAACTAAAAAAGGGAAAAATCTGAATTTACAGCAACCAACTTAAGAAATATATTGCAACTATAATTGAAGCTTCCTTTGTATGTCTCTTCATTCATGTTTTTCATTTTCTACCTCTCCCTGTGAAACATTTTCTTAAAATTGGTAATTAATTCCCATACACACTTCCATGTTTTTCACATGTAGATTCTTAGGCAATATACAGTGCTATTTTGAATATATAAATATTATCTTCCTGTATTCTTAAGCAACTTCTTTTTTCACTTATCCAAGACTATCCATGTTCATGAAATATGTGGCTATTATTTTTCATTCATTTCCATTACTATATAGTATTGCTTTTAAATAATATGCCCAGGTTTTATCTATTCTCTTGCTAATTTTTCCTTTATTTTCATTTCTTCAGTGCTACCATGAATATTTTTCTTTCAGTCCCTTTGTTCATATTAGCCAAAATTTCTCATAAATGTACTTACTTTTAAAAATGTATTTGTGTGGGGACCTCCCTGGTGGCCTAGGAGTAAAGTCTCAGAGCTACCACTACTATGACCCACCCAAAGGCCTGAGTTCTATCCCAGCCAGGGAGCTGACCCACATGGCACAGAAGACCTCTCCTGTCTCATCTGCTGCTCCCCTGAGCAGTGTATTTCAGTAATATACCTATTCTGCTCCCCACTCTGTCTCTGGTGAATCTTCTCATCCTCCACACCACAGCTCTTCTATACTAAAATAAAAGAAAATCTACAAAGAAAAAACTATGGCAAAGCATGTTAACTAAACTAATTTTAAAAATGTGTGTCATGTGTGTGTATATCTAGAAGTAGAATTGCTGGGAGATAGATTTTATACACCATTATTGGATATTGTCAAATTGCTCTTAAAAGTGACTATTTATTTGTGCTTCCTTCAGCAGGGAATAAGAATTCACAGGATTTTTTTTCCCCAAAGATTTATTTATTTATGCATATAAGATCTGAGGTACAGGCCAGAGATGAGGGAGTGAGAGGATTCACCAGAGAAGAGTGGGCAACAGAACAGGCAGATTTACTGAAATACACTGCTCAGGGAAGGGGAGAAGTAGGAGAGACGGGAGAAGTCTGCTGTGCCATGTGGGTCACCTCCCTGGCTGGGGATTGAACTCGTGCTGCAGTGCCTACAGATCGCTTCATAGTGCTGCGTCTTGACCCTTTGTGCCATCAGGGAGGCCCCAAGAATCCATATTATTCTGTAACCTAAACCTACTAAAATGTGGTATTGTACAGCTTAAATATCTGCAAAGCTGATGCTCATGAAAGGAAATCAGTGTAGTTAAACTTGAGTTTCCCCCTGATTACTGCAACTTTTCATGTTTACTGTTGATTCTGGTGTGCTTGTCTTTGCCTAGCCTTTTTTTTTTTTTGGCTGTTTGTTTTCTATTGAGTCATTCATATTTGTTTTTATTGTTTAGGGCCAGATAGTAAATATTTGGGGTTTTGTGGGCCATATGGTCTCTATCACAGCTACTCAACTCTTTCCATTGTAGCACAAAAGCAAACGTAAATCATAAATAAATAAATGTGGCTGTGTTCTGATAAAACTCTTTCTGCAAAAATAAGTATTGGACTGGCTTTAGCTCATGCACCATCATTTCCCAACCCTGTGTTATGGGTGCTAATCCTGTATTGGAAATCTGATTATTTTTGAAAAAAAAAAAAAAACAAAAAAACTTTTGTGTAATTATGTGAAACTCACAGGGGAACAGACTTCAAAGGTCATCTTTTCTTGCAAATTGAGATAAAGTATTTCAAATTTCTGGTCACCTTAGTTGGTTCATCTGCAAATTATGTTGCAGGATGAGCCAAAAGGAACCCATTACAAACTAAAAATGCCTCCTTTCTGGGCTGACCACCCCAGAATTTATCATGAATGCATAGTTTACCATATACACTTTATCCTAAAAACACACCAAATAGTTGTGACCTGAGGTGACCAGGTCCTGTGAAAAAAATAATAACTTTTTAACATTATAAAAGTATAGTTAGCAGCCCTCCACTGATGTTAGAAGATGGATATGTATTTTAAAATTATATCTGTATCGAACTATGTCCATACATACATAGATGGGTGTCTACATGCACACATAGAAACCGCAACATTTCAAAAACAGGATAGATTCGGGGTGAGGGTGCAGGGGCGGGAAGAAAGTCGTGCTCACATCAGACACAGAGTAGATACCTATAGATAGTAGAGGTCTTACCCTGAGTCAGGAGACTCAAGGTCCAGCCATCCTGGCTTTGGAGAGGTTCTTTCCCTCACTTACCCATTTTTCCTGTGTCTCAGTGTCCCTATTGTACACAGGAAACAGCATTACTGATATTTTAGGGATAGTTAAAAATAGCCATGATTGTTTTGAACAACAAACACTAACAATATAATATTGTGAACAAGTTTAAAATAATGCTTTTAAGTATCACTTATGACCAAATTTAGGCTTGAGGGCCCCCTTTCTTTCCACCACCTGAAACTCAGGTGAAGCTTGAAAATGACCCAGGAGAGAATCTCACCCAGGCATATTTGAGAGGTGAAACAATCAAAGACATTGACAACAGCCCTTTTCAAAGTATCAGCACAAACTTCTTAGTGTCTGAACTGGTTGCTTTCCTGGGGCTAGAATATCATTTTCAAAATTCCTGGAAACCCATAGTAACCCCAAATTTCAAAATATTTGGATAAATATCAGAAATAACTTTCCTATTTTTGCCTAATCCTTTTTAAATCTGATTTTTTTTCTCCTCAGTTTTTCCCTTTCAAACTAACCCAGGAGAAGAATGCAACTTAAGGAAACAACTTCGGAATTACAGAACCACATGTGGATTCCAAGTTCTGAGTGCCTGAACCACTGATGGGAAACGCAAGTAAGCAAAAATTGTAATGAGTGTTAAAGAGACAGGGCATTGACATAGGTAAAAAAAAAAAAAAAAGTAAAGAAAGAAAAAACAGAACTGGACCTCCCTGGTAGAGCAGGGGGTAAAGTCTCAGCCCTGTCAAGCTTTGAGGACTATTAGTCTCTGGGGCCTGAGTTTGATCCCAGCCAGGGAGCTGACCCACATGGCACAGTAGACCTCTTCTGTTTTGCCCACTGCTCCCTCAGCACTGCATTTCAATACATCTGCCTGTTCTGCTCCCTACTCTGTCTCTGGTGAATCCTCTCACCTCCTCTGGCCTATACCCCATAAGCATCATCTTATGTTTAAATATTTCTAAAATGCTTAGTTTTATTTAAATTCTGAGTGAGTTTTTGAAAAGGAACCCAATTCTATGACTGCTTTGTGTTAAAACTTCATCATAACAAATTCTTTGCCTGACAAGGTGATATCTTCCTGGGTTTCTATT